TTCTATCCATATTGTTTGCTGGATAATGAGCGGCAGAGCACCCGTCCCTGCCAGGCCTATGATAAATAATTCTCATTCTAAGGACGGTCTCCTGCTGCTGGCTCCTCACCGAGACGCTTCTGCTGCACGCTGCTCGGGGCTGGAGATATATAAAGGCATTAGTGAATCCCACCAAAGGGTCAGGAGGGAAGGGGCTTCCTGGAAGCAGAAATGGAGGGGGGGGGGCGGGGGGGGGGGGGTTCTGCATCTCAATTACAAAGCAAAATCGCCTCTTGTGACTTCCACCGATCGCCCGTCTTGCCGCATGGCACGCAGCATTAGTCCGGCGTGGCACCGGGATGATGTGGCAGGCAGGGTAGAGACTGGCTGCCTGCGGACATTTTATTCTGAGATCTAATTATAACTATTCCCTGCGGGGTCAGCGCAGCGCAGACTTAGGGAAGCGATTCGACTGGCGTGAAAGAGAAGTCACGGGAAAGACTGGTCGCCCAAAAGGCCCCCTCCTCAGCCCCTGTAAATGGGGCAACTCCACAATACATAGACTCCAGAATGCGTTTTCCAGAATTTTAGCTGCTTCTGGGCACCTGAGGGTAAATCTGGCAATACTGCTGTAAGGAAGTCGTTCCTGCACAGAGAGATCACAAGCCTCTCTGCAGCTCTAACAGAAAATAAGTCGCTGATTTCTATTTTTTTTTAAGCATTCAGAGAAAGCCTTCCGAGGTTAAAGGGCAAATGTTCTGGATGTTGCAGAGTTCGGGGCCCTTTGCGTTGTGGCCTATCATATAGAGGTGCAGCCCTGGTTACATGCCTAGCATCCTCCCTTGCCGCTGCTAGATGGGAAGTAGTTGCTGCACAGAGCGATCACAAGCCTCTCTGCAGCTCTAACAGAAAGTATATCGCTGATTTCTGTTTCTTTTTTTTAAGCATTCAGAGAAAGCCTTCCGAGGAGAAAGGACATATACAGTGGGGCAAAAAAGTATTTAGTCAGCCACCAATTGTGCAAGTTCTCCCACTTAAAAAGATGAGAGAGGCCTGTAATTGGCATCATAGGTAGACCTCAACTATGAGAGACAAAATGAGAAACAAAATCCAGACAATCACATTGGCTGATTTGGAAAGAATTTATTTGCAAATTATGATGGAAAATAAGTATTTGGTCACCTACAAACAAGCAAGATTTCTGGCTCTCACAGACCTGTACCTTCTTCTTTAAGAGGCTCCTCTGTCCTGCACTCATTACCTGTATCAATGGCACCTGTTTGAACTTATCAGTATAAAAGACACCTGTCCACAACCTCAAACAGTCACACTCCAAACTCCACTATGGTGAAGATCAGAGAGCTGTCGAAGGACACCAGAAACAAAATTGTAGACCTGCACCAGGCTGGGAAGACTGAATCTGCAATAGGCAAGCAGCTTGGTGTGAACAAATTAACTGTGGGAACAATAATTAGAAAATGGAAGACATACAAGACCACTGATAATCTCCCTCCATCTGGGGCTCCACGCAAGATCTCACCCCGTGGGGTCAAAATGATCACAAGAATGGTGAGCAAAAATCCCAGGACCACACAGGAGGACCTAGTGAATGACCTGCAGAGAGCTGGGACCAACGTAACAAAGGCTACCATCAGTAACACACTACGCCGCCATGGACACAGATCCTGCAGTGCCAGACGTGTCCCCCTGCTTAAGCCAGTACATGTGCGGGCCCGTCTGAAGTTTGCTAGAGAGCATTTGGATGATCCAGAAGAGGATTGGGAGAATGTCATATGGTCAGATGAAACCAAAATAGAACTGTTTGGTAGAAACACAACTCATTGTGTTTGGAGAAGAGAGAATGCTGAGTTGCATCCAAAGAACACCATACCTACTGTGAAGCATGGGGATGGCAACATCATGCTTTGGGGCTGTTTCTCCGCAAAGGGACCAGGACGACTGATCCATGTACAGAACAGAATGAATGGGGCCATGTATCGTGAGATTTTGAGTGCAAACCTCCTTCCATCAGCAAGGGCATTGAAGATGAAACGTGGCTGGGTCTTCCAACATGACAATGATCCCAAACATACCGCCCGGGCAACAAAGGAGTGGCTTCGTAAGAAGCATTTCAAGGTCCTGGAGTGGCCTAGCCAGTCTCCAGATCTCAACCCCATAGAAAACCTTTGGAGGGAGTTGAAAGTCTGTGTTGCCCAGCGACAGCCTCAAAACATCACTGCTCTAGAGGAGATCTGCATGGAGGATGGGCCAACATACCAGCAACAGTGTGTGCCAACCTTGTGAAGACTTACAGGAAATGTTTGACCTCTGTCATTGCCAACAAAGGATATATAACAAAGTATTGAGATGAACTTTTCATATCGACCAAATACTTATTTTCCACCATAATTTGCAAATAAATTCTTTCCAAATCAGCCAATGTGATTGTCTGGATTTTTTTTCTCCTTTTGTCTCTCATAGTTGAGGTCTACCTATGATGCCAATTACAGGCCTCTCATCTTTTTAAGTGGGAGAACTTGCACAATTGGTGGCTGACTAAATACTTTTTTGCCCCACTGTACAGGTCGAATCAGTGAACTGTTAATGCAACCCAGGCTAGTCAGAGAGTACACTAAATATATCCTTAATAGTCTATTAAATAAAATTGCTGTGCAAATGTTGAGGCATGGCGAATCAACCAGTAATGTGTCTAATATGTGTAGTTTCTGTTATATGGCCAGCCATACAGTTGCAAGAAAAAGTATGTGAACCCCTTGGGATTACGTGGAGTTTTGCATGAATTGGGCATAAAATGTGCTCTGAACGTCATCTAAGTCACAACAATAGAAGAACACAGTCTGCTGAACATAATACTACACAAACATTAGATGTTGCCATGGTTTAATTGCACATAACTTGTAAACATTCACAGTGCAGGGAGGAAAAAGTATTTGAACCTTTGGACTTAATAACTGGTTGACCCTCCTTTGGCAGCAATAACCTCAACCAAACGTTTCCTGTAGTTGCAGATCAGACCTGCACAACGATCTGGAGTCATTTTGGACCACTCCTCTTCACAAAACTGTTTCAGTGTAGCAATATTCTTGGGATGTCTGGTGTGAATCGCTCTCTTAAGGTCATGCCACAGCATTTCAATCGGGTTGAGGTCAGGACTCTGACTGGGCCACTCCAGAAGGCGTATTCTGTGCTGTTGCAGCCATTGTTTTGTTGAATTACTTGTATGCTTTGGGTCATTGTCCTGTTGCATCACCCATCCTCTGCGGAGCTTCAGTTGGCGGACAGATGGTCGTACGTTTTCCTGCAAAATGTCTTGATAAACTCTGGAATTCATTTTCCCATCAATGACAACAATCCGTCCAGGCCCTGAGGCAGCAAAGCAGCCCCAAACCATGATGCTGCCTCCGCCATGTTTTACAGTGGGGATGAGGTTTTGATGTTGGTGTGCTGTGCCTTTTTTTCTCCACACATAGTGTTGTGTGTTCTTCCCAAACAACTCAATCTTGGTTTCATCTGTCCACAGTATATTTTGCCAGTAGTGCTGTGGAACATCCAGGTGCTCTTTTGCAAACTTCAAACGTGCTGCAATATTCTTTTTGGACAGCAATGGCTTCCTCCGTGGTGTCCTCCCATGTACTCCATTCTTGTTTAATGTTTTCCTTATTGTAGATGTGTCAACAAAAATGTTAGCATGTGCCAGAGATTTCTGTAGGTCTTTAGTTGATACTCTGGGATTCTTCTTTACCTCATGCAGCATTCTGCGCTGTGCTCTTGCAGTCATTTTTATAGGACGACCACGCCTAGGGAGAGTAGCAACAGTGCTAAACTTTCTCCATTTGTAGACAGTCTGTCTTACCGTGGACACATGAACATCAAGGCTTTTGGAGATACTTTTGTAACCCTTTCCAGCTTCATGCAAGTCAACAATTCTTGATCGTAGGTCTTCTGAGAGCTCTTTTCTGCGAGGCATGGTTCACATCAGACAGTGCTTCTTGAAACCAGTAAACCCAAAACAGGTGTGTGTTTTTTCAAGGGCAGGACAGCTGTCAGCAACACATCCAATATCATCACACTGATTGGAGTCAAGGTTGGCTCACTCCTGGCTCCAATTAGCTCTGGGAGAAGTCATTAAGCTAGGGCCTCACATACTTTTTCCTCCCTGCACTGTGAATGTTTACATGTTATGTGCAATTAAACCATGGCAACATCTAATGTTTGTGTAGTATTATGTTCAGCAGACTGTGTTCTTCTATTGTTGTGACTTAGATGACATTCAGAGCACATTTTATGCCCAATTCATGCAAAACTCCACGTAATCCCAAGGGGTTCACATACTTTTTCTTGCAACTGTATGTCCACTAGATGGAGCCGACAATCATACTAAATAAGTATTTATTTCTAATGATCTCCATCTTGTGGCCATAATGCGGTATTTTTGATTCGCCCTATTCCTAGGAATGAAGAACATCCGACCTGGAGGGAAAATAGTCTTGTAACTTTCAATTTTGCTGGCATTGACACAGAATGTAAATGCAGCTTTGCAGGATCAATAGCTCTGTATATATTTTTTTTTTTTTTATAAAAATGTGCAAATCAACCAGTAATTTCTTTAGGGCTCATGTACACTGCAGCTGATAAACTCACGTTTAGGAGCTGTTTAGTGTTTTTTTCAGCAGCCCCTGAACTCTCCCTAATGTTTTCCTATGTGTCCATGTACACATCTTCGTTTACAGTCATTTACAGGCAGTTGAATTTACAGTTGGTTTTTTGAACACAGAAAACGTGCATTCAGCAATCGATTTTATCAGCATTTAAAACGCAAAACGCTTGTAAACGCGGCAAATTGTGTTTATAAGCTTTTGTGTCTGAAATTTTTTTTTTAACTCTTCCAGTTCCCGATGCTGTCCAGAGCCTTTTTTCATCATGAAAAATGTATGCAAAGCATTTTCAAGGTACTCGGATGGACAAAACACTGAACACAGGATGTTCCTACCAAGCTTGTCACACATTGTAATGACCATTCACACCTCAGACCTCTCCCACCCTTGTAAACAAAAGATATGTTAATGACCAATTCACACCTCAGACCTCTCTCACCCTTGGAAACAAAAGATATGTTAATGACCATTCACAACTCAGACCTCTCTCACCCTTGGAAACAAAAGATATGTTAATGACCATTCACACCTCAACTTCCTCATGAAGACCCCCTGCCAGTGACCTTAATGACTCCCTCCACCAGACACCTTTCCCACCCTTGGAAACAAAAGAAATGTTAATGAGAAACTCATACCTAATTATCTCAACACATCCCACTGTCTCTGCTTCTACTCTCTGTATTTCTCTGAAACAGTCTGAAATAGTTAATAATTTACCACTTTTCAGTGCATTCTGGACATTTGGGAGGTTCTCCTGTGCTTATCTTTAAAAAACGTTTCTAAACGCAAACACACATAAATGCGTTATGCAAATGCGGCTAAACAGACGTTTTTTAACCTACGTTTTCCAGCAGTCAGTTTCCATCGTTCAGACGTGTCCCGTGTACATGGGGCCTTAGAAGCCCCACCAGATCATACATTTGCTACCAAGGATTGTGTTCCATAGTCACTCACGCTCTTGTGATGGAAGGATTGTGTTTCATTTCCATTCTACAATATTGCTTCTATTATTCCAGAAATATTCTCACATATACAGACCTGACTGGTGTAAAAGCATTAATGAAACACAAATGTATCTCCGCGGGGGAAAGTGAGCACTTTGTACTGACGGCGGTAATAATGCATATCGCCAGGTTTTTTTTTTTACGATGGATCAATAAAGTAACACAAGGGAGTACATCCCCCGCCCCAAAGGCCGGGGCCAGTGATGGACGGACACTTACTATACTCAACACATCAATACATCATATATTATACATGATAAAGAGCACAGAGACAATGGAGCCGGGTATTGAAGACAGACGTAGAAATTCACATTTCTGGCATTAAATTGAATGTGGTAAGTAAAATGTACAATATTAAAGGATACGTCTGCGTTCACTCAAAGCGCGTTTATCCTTTTTTGCCCTTCCATTGACCTTACCTAACCTACCCTCCCCCTCCACAGATACATACTTACCTCCATTCGGTGGATATGGTTCTTGTTGACATCTAATTAATATTATTATACAGGATTTATTTAGCGCCAACAGTTTGCTCAGCGCTGTACAATATAACAGGAGAAAATACAGCAACAATACAGTTCAATACAAGAGGGTTAGGAGGGCCCTGATCCTGGGAGCGTACAATCTAAGAGATCCAATGGTTACATTTAATCATGCAGGTGTTGGGCCGATGCATGAACAAATAAATAATCAAAGAAACAAATAATATATATATTAATATAAATAAATAAATATAAACTACTACTAATAATAATAATAATAAAACAAAAAATAAAAATAAAAAATGACATATATATTAAATAAAAAAAGTCAATCTAGTTCAGCCAGTGGGGAAAAAAATAGAATAAACAGAAGTAAACAAATATTAAATGAATAATATTTTATATAATATATATGTATATATATATATGTATAAAATAAATAATAATAATGAAATATAATAAATAAATAAAAAAAAGTCCATATAGCTCAACCAATAGGAGAAAAAAAAATTGAATAAATAGAAATACACATATTAAATAAATATATTTTTTAATAATATATATTAAAAAAAATAATAACAATGTAAATAGATCTAAATAAATATAAAATAATAATAAATAAAATAATAATAATAATGGTGATAAAAAAATATATAAAATAATATAACATAATAAATAAATAAATGATGAGTTAGTCCACCTAGTTTAACCAACAGAAGAAAAAAAATAGAATAAATAAAAATAAATATAAAATAATATTAAAATAATAATAATAATGATGATAAAAAAATATGTAAAATAATATAACATAGCAAATAAATAAATGATGAGTTAGTCCACCTAGTTTAACCAACAGGAGAAAAAAATAGAATAAAAATAAATATAAATAAGTAGTGCGTTTCTGCAAAACGCGGCAGTAAACACTTAGGTGTGAACCTAGTGTAAAGGAAGGTCTGTATTTTTTTGCCATCCGTGTCCCACTGGAGCATAATTGTGTGAATCCTGAGCTGCAGACAAAACACGCTGCACTTTACCAAATGTAGAAGGGTGCTGATAATGGCGGCAATTACTGGCACCCCCATGCATCTTTTTCATTTTCATGCATTCAAAAACCATGTGGTTTCTTTTAAAAACAAAGGGTTCGGGCAGGGGCGGACTGACAACTCATGGGGCCCCCGGGCAATAGGGGATCATGGGGCCCCTGTGTCCTTGCCCAAACTAAAAAAAAAAAAAACTATGAAAAAGGTACCAGGGACATCTCATGGGGCCCCCTACTGACCCCGGGCCCTCGGGCAGTGCCCGAGTTTCCAAATGGTCAGTCCGCCCCTGGGTCCGGGACTTCTCTCCTGCGTTCCTCGCAGGTACAGTGCCATTCACATGCATAGCCTGCTGTACCCGTGCATGGGCTGCCCTGTGTGATGTGTGAAGGGGACCCTATGCAATGTGTGATATGTACGTAGACGTGTTTTGATGCATGCACATCGATTCCAATTGAGAGCCCATTCCGACCCGACGCTGCACATTTACTGCATGTTTTTTGCATGTGCAGTGACATGCATTTGCCGTGCGGTTTTACACACAATTACATGGATTTGTATTTCCTTTGAGGTCACTTCCGTCTTCTTTAGGATCCTGCATACACTGCGTCCAAATGCACAGAAATGCGTGGAGCGATCACGTGTTTCTGTGCATTTGCAGTGTGGAAGGATGCAGCTTGCTGTACTTTTATCACAGCACCCATGGGAACTCTGCCCATAGGATAGCCTGGATTCTGGGTGGTCTAGGCCAGGGGTCTCCACACTTTCCAAACAAAGGGCCACTAAACTGTCCATCAGACTTTAGGGGGGGGGGGGGGGCTGGACTGTGGCCAGTGGGAGTAGAAAATGACCAGGCATTGGGGTCAGTAGGAGGAATATTGGTGCCAATGGAAGGAATTACGCCCTGTCATTGGTGTCAGTGGGAAGAATAGTGCCCCATCATTGGTGTCAGTGGAAGTACTACTGCCCCATCATTGGTGTCAGTGGGAGGAATAGTGCCCCATCATTGGTGTCAGTGGGAGGAATAGTGCCCCATCATTGGTGTCAGTGGAAAGACTAGTGCCTCATCATTGGTGTCAGTGGAAGTATTAGTGCCCTATCATTGGTGTCAGTGGGAGGAATAGTGCCCCATCAATATTATCAGTGAGAGGATCCGTGCCCCATTGTTGGTGTCAGTGGGAGTAATAGTGCCCCATCATTGGTGTCAGGGGGAGGCGCCCCAATAGTGCAATAGTGCCCCATCATTGGTGTCAGTGGGAGCAATAGCGCCCCATCATTGGTATCAGTGGGAGGAATAGCGCCCCATCATTGGTGTCAGTGGGAGGAATAGCGCCCCATCATTGGTGTCAGTGGGAGGAATAGCGCCCCATCATTGGGGGAGGAATAGCGCCCCATCATTGGTGTCAGTGGGAGGAATAGCGCCCCATCATTGGTGTCATTGGTGGGGGAGGAATAGCGCCCCATCATTGGTGTCAGTGGGAGGAATAGCGCCCCATCATTGGTGTCAGTGGGAGGAATAGCGCCCCATCATTGGTATCAGTGGGAGGAATAGCGCCCCATCATTGGTGTCAGTGGGAGGAATAGCGCCCCATCATTGGTGTCAGTGGGAGGAATAGCGCCCCATCATTGGTGTCAGTGGGAGGAATAGCGCCCCATCATTGCTGTCAGTGGGAGGAATAGCGCCCATCATCATGGTAGTCCCCATCATTGGTGGAGGGGGGAATAGCGCCCCATCATTGGTGTCAGTGGGAGGAATAGTGCCCCATCATTGGTGTCAGTGGGAGGAATAGTGCCCCAGTCATTGGTGTCAGTGGGAGGAATAGTGCCCCGTCATTGGTGTCAGTGGGAGGAATTAGTGCCTCATACAGTAGGAGAGAATGTGCCCCAAGGGCCGGATAAAGGCAAGCAAAGGGGCCGTATCTGGCCCGCGGGCCGCAGTTCGGGAACCCCTGGTCTATGCACCCCCCTGCATGTGATGTGAATGGGCCCCAGAAATGTGTCATCAGGAGTATCTCTGATTGGGATGAATGCAGACAATCTCTAGGTAAGCGATCTGGTCATACTTCTGGTGACCCCTGTGCCCAGGACGCGCTCTGATTGGCTGCCCGCTGCCCCCGCCCCGCCCCCAGTCCGGTGACAGAGAATGAACTCCTCTCCCAGGACAGCACTGAGCACAAGCCACGCCCCCATCCCCTTTCTGCAAACGCGCCCTCCCGCGCCGCCACTGGCTGAGCGCGGCGATAGTCCCGCCCTTCCCCGGCTGCGCTGACATCAGTGCTGGGCAGGGAGGAATGGGCTGGCTGCTGCCGCTGGAGGAGTCGGAGCGGAGGAGAGCGGAGGAGAGCAGAGCGCACAAAGGGCTCCTCCAGAGCGGACGTATCAGCGCAGCATCCTGCCCCAGGTAAGAGGCGTGCATGGGGAGCGGGACCCCCATCTGTGTACAGGGGGGCCGGATCCGGGAGGTGGAGGCTTCTCATGGGATGTCCCCTTTAATCCTGGATTTGGCCGGCTGTGCGCTGGAGCGGCTGCAGATAAGCCCTGCGGGTGCCCAGGTGACCCTTCTGATGATCATCCCCCCCCCCCCCCGTGACCTCTGCATTGGGGGACCCCCGCACCGCCACATCTGGGCTGCTGTCCGGGGGGCAGCCAATCACCGGCGATGTCTCCATCATTCTCGAGGATCCCAAGTTGGACCGTCTGAGCGTTCTGGGGACAACATCTCCCTGCTTGACATTTTTGCAGCAGAAGGAGTGAGACTCCAGGTTAAAAAAATAAAATGTAGTGGGGGTTCTGTCACCAACCCCCCTCCCAACTCATTCTGTCCTGGCAACAAGATCCCCCTGCTGTAATTTATTTATTTTTTTATTGGAGTCTCACTTATTTTGCTGCAGAGGAAGTCTTGTTCCTTTTTCTTCATCATAAAATTTTTTTTTTTTATGTGTATATATACATGGGTCCCAGTGAATGGCTTGGACCCCAGCTCCTTCTGTCCTTTGGGGGTTCTGATGACTAGATCCCTCCCCCCCCCACTATACTTTTATTTTTTTTTTTATTTGGAGGCTCACTTCTTCCGTTGCAAAGGAAGTCTTGTTCCTCTAGCTGCTTTCTTTTTATCCAAAAAAAAAAAAAAAA